GTGTCCGAAACGGCTTAGTTTTTGAGATAGACCCATATAGCACAAGATCTCCTGGCGACATCTCAGAGATATCCTGAGGACGTAGAAAACGTCCAGAGTACGTCCTGAGAATATTCTGAGGACGTAGAACGTCCCCAGAATATTCTTAGGACGTACTCTGAACGTTTTCTGTACATCTATGCTAGGGGAGGGCTTTGAAAATTGCAATTTTTTTGTAACGATAATAACTTGGAAACTAATGACAATAATTAAATGAAATTTATTAATAAACATTGAATTTTTTAAATCTGGTATTCAAATAGAATTTTTTTTTCAAAGATAGGGTTAAAACTACCCTACGCTTTTTTTATTACCCTTTTTTCTAATTTTCATTCAAACATTTTTTTAGCATTTTCAGAAAGGGTTTACTTAAGCGCAGACATGTGCCAAATTTCATTTAATTATTGTCATTAGTTTCCAAGTTATTATCGTTATAAAAAAATTGCAATTTTTAAAGCCCTCTATCTAAAAAACTAAGCCGTTTCGGACACATATTTATCTGAACTTTTGTTCTTAGAATTATCTGAGAAATACGTAGATAAATTTGTGCTATGTTGTTTTTTAACGCCCTATATAATCTTGATGTGTCATTTGTAATCTATTCCGGAATGGCTTGATAGTAAAAAATCTTAGATAAAAGTATCTAAAAAGGTATTTAAAAATATCTTTAGTAGCTCTAAAAATATAAAGGTATCTGAAAATATTTTTAGTAAAAGTTCACTCTAATTTAAAAAAAAAAGATACTATATTCAAAGATATAGAATCGAACACGAGTCCACATATTTTATAACTCGTTATTTTTTCCTTTTCAACCTTTTTTCCTTTTAAACTATTTCAAGAAAAATATTTTTACTTGAAACAGAGAATATCCTTGCGATGCAAGAAGCGTAACAAGCAAAATTTGTACTGTAAGAACTTCTAGGATTTAGATGATTCCTCTAAAGATAAGATTATACTCTTGTTTCTGAGTATATTTGACGAACTTACTATCGCGTGACGCGACAATTGTACCGAAGGGGGAGGCTGCAAGGGTGAACGAAGGCCGGCGAATTTGAGGCTCATTAGCAGGACGGAGTATCGGAAGGGACCTTAGGGTCGTATCGTATCGTCGAGCGTAGAGCGAGAGAGCGGGGGATCGAAAGTACGAGCTTCCGGCTGCGTTCTTCAGTGGCGGTTGCACCGAGTTGCGGCTCTGCGAGCTGCGATTGCTCGCTTCTTGCATAAAGCGAAGGTGTACACGGGCGCGGTATCGGTTCCGAGAAAGGCTTATCAGGCCGCGGATATGTTAATGGCGGCCGTGTTGCCTCCCCCAGCCTCCCCGCCACCTCTTTTCGAGATATATTGCACCCCGAGCGCGCGCGCGACCGAGGTGGTTGCTTGCTCGTATAGGTAGGTGGTTGTCGTTGCAACAGGCCCGCATAGCCCTCTCGATTCACGACGTGTGCACGTGCATATGCATGCACCGCTCGCAATTAAGAATACCCCCGACGGGGGAGGTGCTAGCAAGGCACGTTCGGTAAAAAAAAAAAAGAAAGGCGTGGAGTGCGAGGTCAGTTGCGATAATCGCAACCAAGTTTTTAACTGGCCGCTGAAACGATACGTCGGTGTTTCGTCAGGACACTTTCGACCTATTTCTCTATTTGCCTTCTTCTTATCTCTTGTTTCATACACAAGGGGGCGTGGATACTCTACTATCTATCTTAGATGAAAAGTTACTACACGATTTTTGGCCTTATATAGATAAGATTAAACCATCTAAATAATCTAAACTAATAATTAACCCTAACATTAGAATTACTTATGTGATTTTCAATCTCAAGCGTAAAGCCGAAAATCGTGTAACTTTCTGATAGTGTGACTCTTTAGATAGTATTTCCAGTTTACTAAGTTGGAAAATTGAAGAAATTAAGTTTAGGGCAGCAGAAAATGTGACATGATGCGCGAACGGCATGGTCATGTTGTGCCCAGTCGAAAATGAAACGGTCGCTAATTGACTAGAAATTGATTGCGGCCTATTTGAAGCAGGAGTCCAAGCGGATTCAGTTTTCAACAAGTTGTGCGATTTAATTTTTGACTGAGCGGCACTGTGGAAAATGGAAAATAACTCAAATATTTCTTGTAAACAACTTGTAGCTGTTGTTACGTATGTAGCTACAGCTTTATTTAATGATGGAAAGACGTAATGGCTTGATATAATGAACGATTTGTAAAAGGTCTCGTGCCGTCAAAATGTGCAAGAGACAAGGATCGTTTCAAATACACGAATATCGACACACTTTCCGCAAAATAAGAGGCAAGGATTGTCAAGGAAAAGCGAATTGCTACTTATCTGGTGTCCTTAAGAGAAATTCGCATTGTCGAATTCCCTCTAATCGGTCTGCCCACGTGGATCCTGGAGCGTGTGGAACATCGCGTTTGCGAGCTGAGTTTCTGGAGTAGAGGTTTCTTCGATACGCAGTCGTGGAAATTGCAGAATCTCGAATTTTCCAAAGTTTCAAGCTTGCAACTCCTCCGGAACGTCGCGCACTCGAAAGTACTGGTATTCGCTGCTTCAAGTGAGTTCTTCGGATTCTGCGATCTGGGCTGTTTGAAGCGTCGGGTCCTCGGATCATCGATACCCTTGAGTTTTCGGATCCTAGGATTATCAGATTTTCCTTCGATCCGCCAAGATCTCCGGGCCGATTGCGAACCGGTAAACTCGAAGAGATCATCTCGAGATCTCTCACTCAATAATAGAACCCCGGTGGAGGCTAAGCGTGAGATAAAGAGATCTATCTGCAGCCTTCCTCTTTATATCTTTTCTCTCTCTCTCTCTTCTCATTCACAAGATAAAGGAGATCTATCCGTGGCCTTCCTGTCTCACTCGCTCTCTTTCGATCACCTATTCTGCAATCGTACGTCTGAAATCACGAAGAAGGAGCGAACGGACGAGGGTCGCGGGTGAACTCGCAGACGTCTCGCTGCTGCGAACGTATGCATGGCTGCGCAATTAAGGCCGATCGGCCGTCGAAGAGGAACGGAAATAGACCTGGTTGGCGGCAAGGAGGGAGGCAGAGAAAGAAGACCGTGCCAAGCCCTGCTGCCTGCCATGCCGGCCGATCCATCGATGACCGCTTATTTACAGAGAAGCAGAGGGAACACGACCCGAGTGTAGATGCGAGCTCGGGATAGCCCACGAGTGCGCTGCAACCCTTTGCCCAATCTCCTCTGGCATCTCTCCGTCCTCCCTCGCGCTCCCTCTCCCCCTCTGTCACTCTCTTTCCTCCTCCTCGTCCTGCCGCTCCCGCTGCTCCTACTCCTCGCCTGAGGAGGCAATTAAAGCATCCGGGTAATTCTCGAGTCTCGATCTCTCGACGACGAGCCACCTGGATCGAGTCGAGTCTCCTAGAGGTCCTTGAGAAGATCGCCGGGTGGAAAGGATCCGCGGAGTAAGTTCGATACGTGGTAGAACTGAGAGAGAGAGAGAGAGAGAGAGAGAGAGAGACGTATGCGCGATCTTATCGTAGATCCTCTCCCGTGAGCGAGAATATTGTATCACCGTATCTTGCTTCTCTCCTTTCGTTTTCTTGATTCTTCTTTTTTTATTAGTCCGCGCGACGAACAGTGATTAATGGATGAAAATATGAGGATTTCGATTAAAATAATATACTCATCGGCGAGATCCCACATGGAGATTCTCGATGGACGACTACGAATGGAACGCTTCTCGATAATTCTAGAGGTATTTTTAATTTGCCGGGAGATACGTCAGTCGCGATAAAACCATTTTTCTTCCTGCGAAATGACTAAATCGGGAAATAATAGCTTAAACTCTCTCCGCGCTATCGAGACGATTGTGCATTCTCAGGAAATAGTTGCGATGCTTCTTCGTAATCAAAGAATTTGACATAACAAGCTGTCCGACTATGTCTGTTTAGACACGGTCTAAAGTAACTCAATTTGGAATTTAATCAAATTCGATATATTTTCTCAACATCCAGACACCAATCCTCTAGAGAGTCCCTCTTCTTCCTCTTTCTTCTTCAACTCTTCTTATTGATACGAATTCAACTTTCTCAACTTTTTTGCGAGAACTTATCTTCGTCAATAACAAAAATCCTTCATTATCCCAATATCAAGTCTAGAGTCAATGATCCATTATCTTACGCACTCTCTACTCGCCGAGTCCATCTACTTCACACTAACTATTCGCCAGACTGCGCAAGCAAACCGAGCACGCCAGCTCGGTGGGGGATGAGAGGCGTGCGAAGGGTGCAATTGGTGGTTGTGTTGAACGGGGATAGGGAACCCGACCGGGGGAGGAAAGGGCACGCAAGGGCCGGTACACTAAAGGTCCATTAGGAACCCGGATGGCTGCAGAGCCACATCGCGCGCGTCCGTCGACCTTGTCACATTTTCTTTCTACTCTGAGGCGATTTCTTCACTCAGCTCGCAGCCCAGTTCAGCTCATCATGGTATTCTCGTTGTCTACCTCTGATTTTTGAGAATATGCACTGCTGGGATAATAGACGATCATCACTCTATCGAGAATCATTGATCAATCGACAATTATTATCCAATCGTCAATCAGTAATATCTGGATGTCATTCTAAATCAACATGGAAAGGAAACAAAGGACTTAGAGTTTTGCAGGACTCCTGCTTTAAGTATGATCCCGCGAGTATTGCGGGATCATACATAAATCGTGAACTTGCTTTGTCTCTTCGGCACCTTGAAGTTTCCAAAACTTGCAACACTCAACCTCTTTCAAGCTTCGTATGCTCAGGTATTTTAGATTCGCTCAATCATAACGAATATAAATGTTACGTCAACTTAACTCAAAAGTTGCAAAAATCGGATGACTTGTTGACGTAAATCCACGCAGTGTCTTTCTGTGAATTACGCGAATGTCCTACTCTTGTATTTGGTCGCGAACTGGATTGAACGTCTTGATTGACGAATACCTTCCTTGTTGGTTTCAGGGGAGGATGAGGAGTGGAGTGACTCGGAGAAGACCCCGTCGGTGAGCAGCGGCGTGGATGGCGGCGGATCAGCGGTGTCAAGCCCTGTTGCACCGGTGGTCGAAGAAGACTCGAGTTTACCGCCCCCGCCGAGACTCAACCCTGTTTTGTCCTCGGTCAATTCTGCCAACGAGGACCTCAGAATACGTCTTAGTGTACTTCCCGAAGAAACTAGGAAGCGTCTCGCTAGCCTCACCGAGGATATCGAGGTATCGTCTTTCTTCTTGAGTTTTTGTTCTTCTTAAGTTCAATTAATTGGTTAATCTTCCAGTGATTGATCTTTGAACTTGTTTTGAAGTTTTGAGCATTGATAAGTAATCTCTGTTTTACTTAAATACTTAAATACAAAATTGAAGTAGTATATCTTGAAGTATTACTTATAGTATATCTTGAAGTATATCTTGAATTATTACTTTGATATCTGACTGAAGTACATAAATTCAAATAATGCTTGAAATTCTTCTATATATCCTCTTGAGATATATTATTTTTATATTTATCTCCCTGAGACACTCAGAATTCAAAAAGAAAAGTTAATTTTGCTGATAAATCTTGACTCAATAATTCGTTCGAAAGTCATTTGTGTTTTATTCTGATGTCGCAATTCTGATGATAAACAATATAAAATCGGTGCTACGTAAAGTTCAATTTTTTCGACTCAATTGGAGAGTTTGATATTTAATATAAAATATATTGTACGCAGGTTGCCAAGAGCATCAGAAGCCATGCACCGTCCAGGAGCGTACGCACGCGAGAATCGAGTCCCAAGGATGTTGAAGAGGAACAGGTGGTGGTCAAGGAGGAAGAGTGTCAACCGAGGTCGTCATCCTCCTTATCCTCTTCCACCAGGAAACGAGATGCCGTGTGCCGTAGGGACTCGGAGGACTCCGCGAGACGGTCTGACGAGTCCGCCACTGAAGCCAAGAGGATGAAGCCCGAAGATGAGGCAGCACCAAGACTGAGACTCAATGCTAGTCTGGCGACGGATCCCGCCCTGAGACCCGCCGCCGTCGCCGCTCTTACCGTGAAGCCCGAGAACACCTCGCCGCCAAATCCGACTCCGCCGCTGCCAGCTGGTCTCCAGAATGGTAAATTAGATTTGAACCAATCAACTTTCTTGCTAATAGTCATTGATTCAAATTTTCACGCTCATTCTTGAATTTATATATTAAAACGAATTCATATATCGAGTCCATATTGTAAAATAAACGTGACGTAAAATCATGAGGAAAGTTGCATGTCACGTTGATTTTAAGGCAGTTTATTGATTGTCAAAGGAAAAGGACAGTTTTTGAGACATTTTACAAGTATACTTAAGCAGTTTAAAATACTTTTTTAATAAAAATATCTATTTATTTGAGAAATGGCACGCAAGAATTTTGGGCTGTGTTTTCTCGCTTCTAACATCATTAATCTAGAATTCTGTAGCATTGGCATCAGGAGCCTTAATCAAAGCCTTAAAATCTAAACTTTCCTCTTTCCGGAAAAAAAAAACATTTCACACTGATCTAACTTTTTGTCTTATCATTGTGTTCTTACTTTATCGTCGACTCATCCTGGCTGTCTAATTTTTCATCAGCAATCGCGTCCGGTCGCTTGTTTGTTCTGCCAACCGACGGCAAGGAGACGATCACAGTAGAGCCGGCAAGGCCGACTGCGCTGATCTGTCCACCATGTGGCATACGCTTTAGTTCGGCGAGCACTTTGGAAGCGCATCGCACTTACTATTGCGCCCACCGACCGCGTTTAGAGGAAGATGCGGCGAACGACGAGGATGACGACAAGTCTGGCAAATACGAGGTGCGAAAGGCGTACGCATGTCCTCACTGCTCGTACAGCGCGGATAAGAAAGTATCGTTGAACCGCCACATGCGAATGCACGCGGCATCGCCGGCACCACCAACGATACCACCAGCGAACCCAACCCCGACCAACAACCCTGTCGCCGGTCAAACAACCGCCTCCAACGGTTCTCTCAACGAGGAAGTTGAGAAATATTGTAGGAATTGCGACATCAGATTCAGCTCTTTGAAGACGTACAGGTAAATGGATAAATAAAGGACAGTTTTTCATGCGGAATTGAGAGAATCTTTCTAAATTTATGAGTAAAATCGGAAGCATGTGCATTTATATCAAAGATTTTCAACAAATTACAAGCGACAATTTAATAATTGTAACTGAAAAAATTACGATTATTAAAATAAATTTCATAAAATACTTATTGATAATGAAAACTATTTCCTTAACGCAATCTGTTATCGTAGGGCACATAAAACGCACTACTGCAGTACCAGGCACGTGGTGAAGGACTCCGTGCCAACGCCGGCGACGCCGCAGTCTTCGGTCAAGGCGTCTCCGCCAACAAGTTCGAGTCCTGGCGACTCACCACCCCCACAACCCTGCCTGGCACTGCCTACCAATCCCCCCATCGTCTTACCGTACACGGTGTTCCGCGGCGCGAGTGTTCTCGCCGCGCCAGCTCTTCCACTTCCCGATACGGTGTACTATCTTCTGCCAGACGGTTTGCATCAATCACTTTCAGTATTTTTTTAGACCTTTCAGAAGCACGTGTCAATGTTTGAGAGAACTCTATAACTCTATTATCAGTTTTACGTTCTTGAAATTAGAAGCTTTTGCTCTCGAAGATTGCAGAAAGATGGTAGCCCACAAAAATCCTACGAGAGATAATCTCCTAAATCTTGATTTTCGAAATAATGTCTGATGGGAAAAAATGATAATTAAAGCTCTCGCGGAACTTTTGATTGATTTGTCAGGAGCGAGAAAATATATGCTAAAAATCCTTGCAAAACACGTTGAAATAAAAAGATGTGTTCATAAAATGATACTTGCAATTGATCAAACAGATCTGTAAAATAGTCTGAACACATTTCTTTATTCCAACAATCAATAAATAACCATGAAACTAATGCAACCTTCCTCTTTAACTTACTTTTTTTCATGATTTTGTTACTTTTACGTTTATAAAATTCGCCGTTAATTTTATGGCTATTTATTGATTGTTAAAATAAAAGGAAAGTATTTGGATTATTTTACGGATTTGGAATAGAAAGATGTTATCTTCGTAATCTTAGAAAGATCAGCGTGTTAAGTGATTCTCGACGTAACCCCCAGGTACCCTCCAACCAGTAACGAGGGGTCTTCCTCCAGCAACGCAAAACGCTACAATGGAACCGCCAGCTGTTCTAAAGGCGGCAAACAAGCCCTCAACGCCGGCGTCAGTAGTTACAGCGTCCACGTCGCCGTCCGTCTTGGCACCCCTCGATCTCAGCGTGCGCAGATCGCCGGGTCACCAGGACGAGAAGGAGAACAGGATGTCACCGGCGCCGTCGTCTCTGCCTCCGCCGCCAGGTAGTCCGAGGTCTAGAAGCAGCGGTAGTCCCAGAACAAGTTCCATCGGTTCAATACAAACGACTGCTGTCGCACCATCCCCAGCCACCGAAATTCCTCTGAGATTAACTGACCTGCCGCCACCTCCTGTTCCAGGAGTGCTGGTGAAGCAGGGTGTTTCGAGGTGAGTTTTATAGATGCTTCTTAATTATTCTCGTAACTCAAAATGTGTCGGAACTTGAAAATTATCGGGATTTCGAATTTTTTTTCAATCCTTTAATGTTTAAATCTCAAATCACTCTTGTAATAAATATGTGGACATTTAAGTTTTTGAGATTTTGAATACTTTTAACATTCAAAGTCTTGAATTTTTTAAGATTTGAGACTATAAGAGTTTTTCGGTTTTCGAGATTGCAGCAGTTTAGACTTTTTTAAAGAGTTCTCTTTGTCTCTGTTACTATTTCTATTTTCTTTCATCTCTCTATTTTTATTAATTTTGAAAACACATTTATGGACAGTAATTGATTTTACACGTGTAGATGCAAGGAATGCAACATCGTATTCTGCCGGCACGAGAACTTTGTCGCTCACAAGAAACACTACTGCCAATCGAGGGGGGAGACCACGGTAAGCAACAGTCCACCGCCATCCGGCACACCCTCGCCGCCACTGGTCCAGCTGATCTGCGCCGCTTGTGGCATCAAGTTCGCCTCTATGGACAACTTAGCTGCCCATCAAGCGTTCTACTGCCCCAAAAGGCCCGAGTCTCAGGAACATCACACACGTTGTTCCAAATGCAAGGTAAATTTCGAATAATAATATAATAATTCTAAAGGATATCTAACAAAAGAAAAACTACAAAAAAAATTTTTTTAAATGCCTTTTTCAAAAGTCTTTAAACTTGATATCTCATATTTCTTGTCAACGTTCGAGAAATTTGGAAACTTTCAAACATCCTTTCAGATATAGATTCTTTCAGATACAATATCTTGGAAGTATTTAAGTAGATGATTCTTAACGTAATCTTTTCTTGAAATCATAAAGATACAGAGAAGAGCGAGATGTATCTTTCTTTATCGGATTAATGAAGTCGAATGACTTATTGCAGGCGATAATAGAGCCCGGAAGTAGCCATTCCTGTGCCAGCAGTGCTACAGGTGGCTGGAGATGTCCAGTCTGTGGCGCCGTTAGTCCAACGGCTGGCGCTGCTCAACGCCACATGGATGCCCATCAAGGCATCAAGGCCTTCCGATGCACTATCTGCCGTTACAAGGGCAACACCTTACGTGGCATGAGGACTCACATCAGAATGCACTTTGCGAAACGTGGCACCGACCTACAGGTAGAATCCACTTAGTCCACGAGTTGTCTCCGGATCTTTGTCTCAGGCATTATATTTGTCATCTGTGATTCGGCGAATAGAGAGAAGCTTAATTTCAAGTACTTAAAAATTTATTGTATTCCAAATTTCTGTAATCTCAAAGTATATATATTTGACATCTATTCCTTCTCGAAAACTCAATAAAAGCCTAACGTCGTCTCGGTAAATCTTCCATTAACTCTTTAAGGCGCATAATTCATGGAACATTCTAGTAACTTTTTTTTTATAAAATATTGTCAAAAACACTCTAAATAGCACATTTATAAGGTTTCAACTGTCCAATCCTAAGTCCCTGGTCCCTATTGGTACCAGTGATACTTAAAGAGTTAAGTTACTTTTGTTAACAACTATTGTTAACGAAACTGGATATTCAAAACTGAATTTTCTAAATTTATATAGATTTTATTTGTTTTATTTCTGTAACACAGAATCTTCCTAAGTAAATTCGATTTATCCTTGACAAAACTGTTATCCGCAAGAGAAATCTCTACAAGAAGACTTTGCTGTGAGAATGATAAAAAAAAAAGTATCCTCTACGAATTTCTAAAAAAAAAAGAACACCGACTTTATCATTGTCCGTTTCAGGAGGAGAATTACATAACATGCGTGTTGGACGATGAAGCGACGTTACCAACGCCGGAACCGGCAGCCGCCACGACACCGGAAGAAATACCTGCGGAGGTGCAGGTGAACGGTAAAACCACAGACACAAGAAAGAGTCCACAACCGCCGCCGTCGTTACCGCCACCTGCGGCTGTTACCAGTAAGGTGAAGCAGGAACGCGAAGACACGCCACCGCCGCCGCCACCTCCACCTCCGGAGGAGAGTTTAGACCCCACTAAAAGCGGGCCTCGATATTGTCGATCTTGTGACATCAGTTTCAATTATTTGAGCACGTTCATCGCCCACAAGAAATTTTATTGTTCGAGTCATGCCGGTGAGGCCAGCAACAACAATAACAACAATAATAATAATAACAACGCCAGCGGACATGCGACGTCGCCGCCGACCGGGAGGACCGAGGCGTCAGTACTCTAAGGACGAAGGACTAAAATCTCGAACTACGAGACGGCTACGCCGCCGTTTCTCTTCCTCTTCTTGGAGTTCCTCCTCACGTTTAATATATACTTCAAAATTCGCAGTCGAGAATAGAATTGTGAAGGTAACTCGACTTGAAACTATCAAAAATTGTCCGTTTGAGAACTCTACTTGTCGATGGTTCTGCTATGCTAAGTGAGAATAATATTTAGAGATAGATAGATAGAGAGAGAGAGAGAGAGAGAGAGAGAGAGAGAGAGAGAGAGAGAGAGAGAGAAAAGGTGTTCGTAAGAGAATAACGGTCTTACGATGATGTTACCGGAATATGAAGATATTCCTCGAAGACAGAGATATTTTAAGGATTCAAGCTAAAAAGAAGAGGATACTCAGTGAAAAGTGAGTTCCTGAAAATGTAACGAGAATATTCTCTCAAAATTGCGAGATTTAGGAAAGTGGCTCCAGGAAGAGGAACAAAACGTGGTGAGCGTGCAACGACGATGCACCACAACCAGGACTGTTCATTGTTGCCAGTTTATATATAATATAATGAACGACTATCGGACTTCTCAGTTGACTCTATTACGTTGTGTGATTTTTGTTGATCCAGGGAATCGTTCGTACTTATAAGCCGAAGGTATCTACGTGTACATATATATGCGCGCGTGCATGTGTTTGTATGTATGTGAGAGAGAGCTCGCAGCAAATAAGAGCGCAAACGGAGCCGTAACAAGAGTCTAGTTTGCGTCGCGATTTGTATAAACATTTAAATTTATATTTATATGTGATAATATATACACACACGATAAATTTTTTTAACGATTGAATTAGGTTTAAAAGATCTTTTTTAACTTTATTTTCATAGCGCTGACTAAAACGATGCTTTCTTACGTATATATTTTTCAAGCATTATTAACTTTAAAAAGTAACTTTAAAAGAAAATAGGAGTCATTAATGTAAATAATTTTATTCACAAATATTAATCAATTTTTTCGCGTTAGACCAAATAATTGATGTAGAAAATCTTTCTGTGAGAAAAACGAGTATGCGCAATTTCTATATATCTATTAATATAATACCTATTTCAATCAATTATCAACAAACGCTTGCAAATATTTATATAGGTATATGTATATATTAAATTTCGTAAGGCAATATTTTTATTTTTATAATTTGATATTAAAATGATTTGAGATATATCTAGTTACGACTCTGGGTGCGCGCAATCAATTCGACGATCGTCACGTCGATTTGGCGTTCTCGAAAGGAAACTCAAAGTTGACGAGACGCCGCATACGTTTGTACATAGAGGGTAAATCAATGGGCGAAAAATTGCGAATGCAAATGGCGAAACGAGGGGAAATAAGAAAAAAAAAACACGTCTGAGCTCGACGCTCGCGAACTGATCGATCGATTCAGACGAAGGTGTGCAATCTCATGACTCTTGAATAATCTCGTAGCATAGTTAATAATCGACATTATCTAAGGACGAGTATGATGAGTGTAAAATGTTGTACAGTAGGCGAGTAGAGTATTACGGAGCAGTAGTAAGCGATCCTGATGAATGATACCAATCTCAGCTTGTGAATCTGCTAAGTTACGTTGCAATGTATGACATTTAATATATAAATATATAAATAAATAAACGGTTATATGCCCGCGAAATCGCGCCCGCGCTCGCGGGTAATAGTGTGAATGCGTCGATAAATATCCACCACGTGAAGAAATTTGCACGTGTTCAATCGGGTGCGTAGCAAAGATACGCAATCTTTTATATAGTAAAATTATAGTTTCGATGAGAGTCCTGACTCGATGATTCTCTATGCGAGAACAATCTCTCATTCGTGACTGCTTATTTATTATTTATTAAAATCCCTTACTTTTCAGAAATCTTGAAATACATTGAATGTTTTCGTGATGGAAGTCAAGTCTCGCGAGTGAAGAGAAGTTCTACAAATCAGACGAGATTATGCCAACTCCTGAAACTTAATCAGAAACTAATTTTGTAGTTTTAGAATGGAGATATCCTTGCTTGAGTAAACACCGAGGAGAAACCAACCTCGTACTCATTGGGAATATGCTCCCCATGTCTAATTTAACACAGGTCTCCTTGTAGGGTAACTTGTACATACGTTGCGAACGGGGAATGTGCGATTCCGCGACTGAAAGAACAGACGATCTCGAGAAGTCTTCTCCGCGTTTGTCGATTCAACGTCACCCGGATTTTTAGCGACGCATTCGGACCCGTGCAACCCAATCAAAAAGCATCGCGCGTGCTCGCGAAGCGAAACGCGAACGCGCCGTTGCAGGGCGTGTAAGTGTAAAGAAAAACATATTAGAAGTTAAGGCCAGTGTTACGTGTATACGCAGTGTACTACTCATATCATACGACGAGCTCGTTAATAAAAAAAGACGCCGACCTGTCCGCTTGGCGAATTTCACGGCCCAGAGATCACGAGCGACACGAGTTTCGCAATAATGAAGTAATCTCGGCACACAATCTCGTCGCATCGTCCGAAAAATTCGTTTACCTCCCGATCTCTCGAGACAACCAAGAAGAAATAATAATTCCTCGAAATAATCTCTTTTTGTAAGCGTCCCGCGCTATCACGTTGATTGTCGAATCTGTATTCTATTACCCTCCCTACCCCGTTCCGGTATATCGCGATATCGCCAGGTCGAGGCGCAAGATTGACGAAAAAGGAGAGATAGAGAAAGAGTGAGACAGAGAGAGAGAGAGAGAGAACATGACGAAGAGAAATTTGTAAATCCACATCTGGTACTTCCAACAACTTGTTATACGCTATAAATCTGGTGTATCATTATATGCCATATCTTCGACAAGACAGTTCTTTCTTCAACACGATACACATCCCAATGGCATCCTATTTTGGAGATCGATCACTTGATTGATTTTCATTCAAGAGCGAACGGATTTCGAATTGCGAATGGCTAGAAATTGCGATTGTCTTCTTTTCTTTGATGACATTGATCTCTTTTTCGTCATGATGTATTGACGTTTCTGATTGGATTAAACAGATTCGGTGAACCGACGGGAAATTTTAATTTTGCGAACGACGAAGAGTTTACAAAAGTTCGCTGACGATTGCGTGATCGATCTCCTAGTCTCTTAGGCTTACATCTCTTTTTGTCGTTTTTATTTTGATAGAAGGATTTTACACGCGAGATATATCTATAGAGAAAAGTCTGTAATAAATATATAAACGTACAAATAAAACCTTATGACATTTACAACTCACTCTTCCTTGCTGAGGAGAAGGCGAAAGTAAAGATTGAAAAGTACATATTAAATGGGAATGTTTATTGTTTAATTCATTTTTTTGCAAGATAAATTCCGGAATAGACTATAAAATCAATTCGCGTAAAATCCTTGTAACGAAACAATCCATTTTGGAATCGCTATGTAAATTGCGATACGTAAAAAAATAAATACTTATTGAAATTGCTACATATACATCCACTCATGAACAAAGCATTGTTCATATATACATTTGTGGAATTATTTAACTTTTTACGTTTATTAATTAATCCTTTTGAACTAATCCTATTGGTATGTTTCAGAATAAAAAAGTACCCGCAAGTCCAACAAATTTTTCTGAAAATAGGCAGAGCCACACAAGGATCTGAGATGTGAATTCTATCAACTGTTCAATCGATCCTAACTTTTGAGCACACAGCGTAGCTTTTGAGATATTTAATTATTATAACTAACGATAAAATTGTTTTAATTATTAGACTTAACTGCAGGTCTCGTTCTGCCGAAAAGGTAAATCTTTATCACACATGTTTTTGTTGGTTGATGCTTCGCGACAATGGTAAATTCAGGTTTTTATGCGTTCCTCGGATTGTTTAATACGCAAACAAGACCTGTTACTATCCCAAAGATTTATCTCTCGTTTTCAGAGTCACTGCTGTCAGTGTCACTGCTGTCAGTGTCACTGCTGTCAGTGTCACTGCTGTCAGTATTCTGATCATCAGCTGCGATGTCCCCATAAAGCAGCGGCTTCATCCTCTGTTTATACCTAGCGTATTTGTAGCCGTGCAACTCGACGTCTTTCATATCGAGTGGATATGGCTCGTCACCATAGTCTTTGTAGTCGTCGTCCTCGCTGGATAAGTGGCAATCCTCTAAATTCCGAATAGCGGTTCTCATGTCATCTTCATCAATTGAATCGTTGTCTGAATTATCAGTATCAGGATAACTGTTCTGATAATATGACTCTGCATTGGAATCCTCAGAGTCATGTTCACTTTGCAAATCTTCTGTGGGCATTTCATACACCAACTCTTGCTCATTGTATGGATGTATCAATACACAATCGTCGATGGAATCGCAATTTTCCACATAATATAAATCGTATGCATAATCGCTGTTCTGAAACATTTATTTGCATTTTCCCAATGTGTGTATCCGTTGTGCTTTGTACCTTACTTCTTTCCTACTTCTACTTAATTTCTATTTTATCACATTTTTATTTCATATCCATTTTAGTTTAAAATTATTTGTCATCTACTTATTATTCTATTTTACTTCAAGAATAATTTTATCCATTTCAATTATATAAAATTGTTTTATATATTTTTATTACTTTATACTATATTCAACTCTTTGTATCACAGAAAAAAGTTACATCTATATAACTATAAAAAAAACTTATAAAAATAAATATATAAGTATAAAAAACTTATATACTCGTTTATATGTGAAAAAAGTGCTTACTATTTCTGCTTATCTACTACATCTTAATTAGTTTTAGAACTCTACTTTTTATCTTTGTCACAGCACAATACAAGAAATACTATTTTCATTATATTTAGTAAACAATATCATTTTTATGTAAATTGCTATTATTACATACCTTTTCTTTTTTTTCTGCTGCTGCTGTGCTTTGGTTTACTGCCAAGGAAATTGAATCCTCTATATCAACGAATGTCATCACTTTGTCCTCAAATTCTTCCATACTTGATGTATCCAAAGAACGATGGCAATTGACGACTTTGTATCTGTTAGCTGCAGAGTTCTCTTTAGTCTGTTTACGCCTTTGTGCTAACAAATTTACACAAGGAGACTTTTTGAAACTAGTTTCTAGTTCTTTCATGTTCAAAGTTTTGGCCAAATGTTTCAAAACATTTTCTTTCTAAAAATTATCAAAAGAGTCAATATTATAATTTGCTATAAAATTTCATATACTAACGATATTAATACTAATGGTTATAATAATTATTGTTATGGCAAAGCTATTCCGTTACAACAAATAGTTATAGTTTTACATAATTCTAAAAGACGACCTAATCTTAAATTGCATAACAAGCAGATGAAACCATGATCTTGCAAAGCATTTCATTATTAATAGAACTTGTTTTAGTTATGAATAAAATACAATACAAAATTTAGTTATGAATAAAATACAATACAAAACAAAACAAATATGTATTTACATGAACTCGTTTTTTCATTATTTTCTAGTGCTAAACCCATGCCTGGAGTGAGTTTCACCAATAATGAAACTTTTTGTGTACAAAAAGAGAAAACTTGTGCAAAAACTAAGAGTAAAATTCATGATGTAAATATTCACCGGGTCATTGAGTGTACCAGCAAATTTGGCGACTGTAGGAATGACCCCTGAGCAAGCGACATCATCATCGCTATCTTCAGCTAATCTTGGATATTTACAAAGAATAAGCGCATCCTGCGGCTGATCATTATTTCTTCTTTTTACTCGCAAAACTGTTGCCATTTTAACACTAAATGACACAAAGTACGCGCGCAAGACAGTTTTTCTCTGTTTATCAATATAACTTCAATATGACTTGCCTAAAGACCCCAACACCACTTAACGCTAAAAGATATATATTATGTTTATTTGGTAATGCAATTCTCCGAAATAGATGATCCTCGATGTTCTTTGAAAATAATTTCAACGTATCTTCCATAAAAATCATAGATTACGTACCAACAAACTCAAATAAGTCCTTACGACGTAACAATCATGCCGCAACACACGACAAATTTCGTTCGAATCTCTATTAAAAACTGTTTCAATATTTCAGTTTCAATATTTGGCTGAAAGCACTTTGCTTTAAGTGATTCTATGCCATCGCTCCAAGATTCTATTAAAAACTGTGGCGTTCAGCAAACTCAAGGTTTGTTCTTTTCAACTGAACTTCTTGCACTAACTCAAGAAGTGGGGAGCGGTGCACTTGGACACGGTGCATTTAGACACAGCCAATCACAGCACCGTGTGATTAGAGACATTTGTAGGGTCCCTTGGAACAGCGACTTGTGATTGGACTGTGTCCAATTGCCCCGTGTCCAACTGATATACACCCCAAGAAGTGTACCCTGGTGCGTTCTTTCTAGCAGAAGTGACGTTAAAGGTTACTGTTCTTTCCAACGGTGCAGCAGAACTTATGGCTCCTGCACACAGGACGCGGTAATGCTTGCCGCGCGGCGGAAGTTCGCGCGACAGCCAATCAATATGCTGCTTTCCATAATAACCATTTAGCTTTTACGGAAAAACAACATATCGATTGACTGTCGCGCGGATTTCCGCCGTGCGGCAAGCATTACCGCGTCTTGTGTGCAGGAGCCATAAGTTCTGCTGCACCGTTGGAAAGAACAGTAACCTCTGACGTCACTTCTGCTAGAAAGAACGCACCAGTGTACACTTCTTGAATTAGTGCAAGAAGTTCAGTTGGAAAGAACAAACCTTGAGTTTGCTGAACGCTACAGTTTTTAATTAATAGAGATTCGAACGAAACTTGTCGTGTGTTGCGGTATGATTGTTATGTCGTAAGGACTTATTTGAGTTTGTTGGTACGTAATCTATGGTTTTTATGGAAGATACGTTGAAATTATTTTCAAAGAACATCGAGGATCATCTATTAAGAGATCATCTATTTCGGAGAATTGTATTACCAAATAAACATAATATATATCTTTTAGCGTTAAGTGGTGTTGGGGCCGAAGTCTTTAGGCACTGGAAGCCATATTGATAAACAGAGAAAAACCATCTTGCGCGCGTACTTTGTGTTATTTAGTGTTAAAATGGCAACAGTTTTGCGAGTAAAAAGAAGAAATAATGATCAGCCGCAGGATGCGCTTATTCTTTGTAAATATCCGAAATTAGCTGAAGATAGCGATGATGATGTCGCTTGCTCAGGGGCCATTCCTACAATCAATATGTTGTTTTTCCGTAAGAGCTAAAAGGTTATTACGGAAAGCAGCATATTGATTAACTGTCGCGCAAACTTCCGCCGCGTGGTAAGCATTACCGCGTCTTGTGTGCAGGAGCCATAAGCCTCTTTAAGGGTGCGTTCAGATTCCTCATCCAGGTGCACTCTATTACTAGAAACACTACAGTATATGTTACATAAACTATAGCACTTCTAGTAATAGAATACACCCGGGTGGAGAATTTGAACGCAGCCTAAAGTTAGCGGCACATGGTATTTGATTAAAGCAGACATTAGGTTTGTTCTTTCGACCTGACCTAGGGCTGCACTGGAACTGTACTAGTTGAAGAAAGTTCAAGATAGTGCAGACCAGTGCAAAGATACATATGGGTCTGAAAAGAACGGGTAAGAGCAAGTTAGAGCAGTGTAAGATGGCGGACAACATGGCTGGATTAAATAACATAGATCAATTTATGGTCATGTTTTCGCACTTATAGCATTTTATGTTTTGTTGAACAATCCTATTTCTTTTAAAAACTGTTTTGTGTTGGATACCCATACAACAAATCCCTCCGAAAAAACGTCCAAGAGCCTTCCCAGGATGTCTTTCGGATATTTTGTGCTGTTTGGATAACATTCTAAATACTTCTTTTATGTCATTCTACATTATATATTTATTATATATTTATCTACATTATATATTTATTATATATTTAAGTATTTACTTACTGTTTATAGATTCCGTCGTCGGATTATTTCTTCTACGTAATGTCAACTAGGTATACCGATTTTACAGGTTATAGATACAAATTTAAATTTTTTCGGTTAGCTGCCCTGCACTGTTTGCTCTACCTCCAGACCTAGGACAGTCAGTTCACTGAACTCGCTGCACTAGTTTAGCCTGCACTGTTCGAAATAACACATTTTCTTGCACTGTTCTGATCGAAAGAACGCATTAGTGCAAACTTCGTGAACTAGTGCAGCCAGTTCAGGTCGAAAGAACAAACCTAAGGCAGAATGCTATTTCACGTGTCGTACGACAGGCTTTTCGGATACGTTTATTGGTTGGCGAATAGAGTATTTCTAGGTTCTCTGTTCGTCAACCAATGAACGTATCCAAAAAGCTTGTCGTACGACACGTGAAATATCAGCTAAAAGCATGTATGAACTATTCTTTGCCTTTCCTACTTCCCGACATCATAAAACATAAAAATAAAAAATAAAAAAACTCTTATTTCTTTTTAAAGCAATACTTTCATTGGACATCGCTCATCGCTCATCGCTAATCGCGTGCAACGTGAATTTAGCATTAGAATGCACTCGAGTGGAGAATCTGAATGCACCTTATGCGGATAGAAATTTTGCACGTGTCCAAGTGCACGCGGGATTCAAGAGGCTGTTAGAAGTTGTTAAAATTTAATTTTGAAGATTTTAGCTTATGAATTAACGATGGCAACCTCGTTATTAGATCAACTTCTCGGATTGAAAGCTCCGCAGACAGATTTACTCGTGCAAGACAAGAAACGTCCCAGTTTGTTATTTGATCCAATAGAAGCTGCAAATTTAGACCGGCACATTGTATTAAGTATAGGTTAGCTTCTTCTTCATTTTAATATTTTTAACTTTCCTAAAAGTTAAAAAATGTTTTCAACTTTTTTTTTATTTCTAATCATTATTTCATTTGTTTAGGTCAAAATGGTCTGGAAAATCTAGTGAGACTCTCCTCAGTTTTTGTTGATTTTAAAGAGACATTGTTTTCTGAGAATTCCTTGGGTTTTGAGCGTGTTATTCAAGATACTGCGATAAACAAGAAAGTGGATGCAGATATTGCAAAGTTTTTGATACTATTGTCTCCATATTTTCTAGTAAATGCTTCACATAAAGCACTAGAATGGCTGATATACAGATATCGCATACATCAACATAACCGAGATCAGTTTATATTATTAATTTTGCCATACCATGAGTCTCGTATATTTGCTAGGTATGTATTAATGAGGAAAAGTACTCAATTAAAAAAGAATGTTTTTTTAAGAGCTATGTTTCATATTATATAATTTATATATATTCTTTTTATTTGCATAGCTTTTAACTTAAAGATCAATATCTATGATATAATGGATATCTATGTGTTTGATATATTGTTTTAATTTTGTTTGTAGATTCTTCAATTTAAAAAACAATATAACATCATGATTGATATTTGTGTACCAAATATTTTATATATAAAAAGATTTGTAAAATCAATTTTTAAATTATTTAAAAGTTTATTAATTTTTCTTGTATCCTTTTTAAGAGCACTACAGTTGTTGGATCTATCAGATAAAGAAGACAAATGGCATTGGCTGAGGTCTTTGCAGAAACGTGGTCAATCACGGATCTCAGAAATACTTGTCAATCGTTTTAGCAAAGACAATGTATTCATGAAGATGCTGTGTACCCATGTAATATCTGCCATAGAGACCTACTCTGACCAGGCATCTCATCTGACCACTCTGTACAGCTTTTATATCACATTGATATCAAGTGTAATAGATCAGGTGATCACCATCACCGATGTTCAAATGAACCACATAGTACCTGTTCTTTTCTATGGTCTAAGAAGTCCTATTTACGATTTCGCCTCCAGCAGCTATATGATCATTGTGCAATTGACGACGAAGGTAATGTAACTTCTTGTATAGAAACTATTTTTTTCTGCCTGTCCCCAAAAATTCCAGTCTGTAAAGTATAAATTAGTGATTATTATTTCATTTGTAGAAGTTTTATTGTATATTAAAATTAAGATACAAATATATGTAAATATCGTGTAAATTTTTATGGAAATTGCAGGTAAAACTCGACGACGAAAGAGTGAAAAAAATATTGCTGAAAGTTTTCAAGAACCCTCTCTTGAAACAGGAAGCTGTCATTTTTCTATTGCATTTGTATCAGAATCCGACTAATAGAATGACAGTTATTCCCCGAAGTGTCGTACTCAGACTGTCCAATTTGTCTTGGTTCATCGAGACTCTCTCCAAAATTCACTCAACACACATAAATGTGTCGCGATTTGCCGTGCCTTTTCTTCAAGCAGCTTGTCAAGCGATTGTCAGAGATTCAGATGATACTATCAGCGTCCAAAATATGACGGATGACTTTCTAACGCGCGTGAAACTCGACGATGACGCGGTAGATACAATCTTGTCTAATGTGCTGAAATGCGAGTTCTTCAAAAGCGAAATGCCCAAAAGCGCAAAGGACTTTATAGCACGTTTCTACCAGAACTTCGAACGTAGTTATCCGGAAAGGTTTGACAAATATCTAAAAGATCTTATGAAGAAAGGCGAGAACGACAAGAACTCCAAGGAGGCATCAAATTTCCTCACATCTTGGCCTTTTGTCACTAAAGAGACGCAAGATTCAGTTGTGATTCTGGATAAATTGACTCACGTTAGCTCAGCACAGCGAATACGTGGTTTGGAAATTCTCGCTAAGAACGACGTGAGCATTCCTAAGAGCTTCCGCAGTATGATGATGAGAACACTTCAAGCGCGATTCTACGACGCCGACGTAAACGTCGTGAAAAGCTTGTTGTCTTTATCAACCAAGAAATTGACCAGTCTACTACCTATCGACACTTTGGTGGATGATTTAGTGGCTCTACTGTCGACATGTCACACTGTATTAAAAAAGGACTTAGCAAAGCCGGCCTTGAAGATACTTCTGGAACTTTGTGAAGATGGTGACGACACTAGGGTCTTCATTACAGCCTTGCCGTATTTATTTCCAGCTACAAAAGAAGACGTGGTAATCGCTTTAGAGGTGCTGGAGTCAAACTTTGCAAAGAATAATACTTACATGCAGTATATGATGAAGGATCTCGAGAAGACTTCATTGACTGCGGAGACGATCTCTTCCACTGCTTTCCACAATATTCTCAACTACGAATTGTTACCGGCTACGAATAGCATATTGAATACAATGCGCCAGCAAATTTGTCATGGCGATGCAGCTTCCTTATTCTTCAACATGATTTTATTAGGGTCGGTTTGTCGGGTACCCGTAGGCTCCATGCCGGCAAATATGGCACGTGATGTAATCGAAATGGCAACAGAGATGATCAAGAAATATCCGCGCATTAAGCTGTTGCACGACTGCAATATCATCACCGGCGACAACATCCAGACAGCATTAAAACTTACGTCTGAAGGCACTTTGCCACTACAAGTAGGCACTTACGTGCTGGAAATGGTGCACAGACGACTCAATCTCAAATCTGAGCCTAAACTCGATTTCGTTAATAACGCAGAACAGAGTAACCTAATCGTTAGGTTGCTAGAGATGTTTTTTGAAGGTATGAGCAACAAACAATGGAAGAAACATTACCTCCGATGCCTGCAAATCTTTTTCCAAAGACATTTCGACACGATAAAGAATCTCATCAACTTCTTGTCGCAGTTGTACGTAAGACCAATCCATGTCCAGACTTCTCATCATTGCTTGCAGATCACGTTGCAACTGTTGGACCGCTGTTCCATTCAGTGGGTGTTTCAAGACCAACACTTCATAACCAACCTGTTGCTATCTCTCACGAGACATAGTAGCGTTTGCAGATCGGCGGCGGTAGACATCCTGAAGAAACTCACTCAAACCTTCAGTCTTGCGACGGAGCCGTTTTCCGCGCTGCTGCAAGAAGTGGCAGCTCGAAGTGCAGAAATCATTCAGGATTCGGATCAGCTGTCGATTATACTCTATTACATTCTTTCGCCGGATCCTGATGTGTATTGCCTGATGAAACAACGGAAGAAGTTGCAACAGGCGCGAAGAATGCTATTCAGCGTGATATTGCAGGAAGACGTGCCGATAGACCGTAGATCCGAGCTGTTAGACGTGCTGACACACGTCAACGGCACAGAGATCCTCCAGCAACTGGCACCGTTAGGTCTGCGGCTTCTGGACAAACTGACGCACGAATCGACCAGGAACCAGCAATGCCAACCGACCGGCAATGCTCTGAGAAATATCCTGCAACGTTTCAACGATTCCACGGTTGAGACATTGAACGATAGTCAAGTGTGGTCGTTCTTTGAGAAGAGTATCTTACAACACGCTTTTTATGCAGTCACCGAGTCTGGTCAGCAAACTTCCCCCAGCATTGTGTTGTTGAAGCAAATCAACAAATTGTTTTTTGAGCGTGCCGGCAAAATCTCGCAAGACTTGCAAGTGAAGATTTTTTCCAAGATACTGGACGTGTTGACCGACTGCGAAGTGAGTAGCGTCATCTCGAACGCAACTCGGGCGATCCGCAAGATCAGTATCGATGCAAAGCTCGTCGTGTCCGAACTGCAGGCAATGAAACTTAACAGACCTGAGGAGCAATTGGAGACAACAGAAAGTGCGAAGAAGAAGTTGAAGAGACACAGTCAAATTAGGAGTCGCCTGTGGCCGACTCCTAAGATAGTGTACAGCAGAGCATGGAAACGCGGCGAGACCTTGCTGCAAATTGTGCAGCATGCTAAAAACATCGAGCACGAGGAGACACTCTACGAAGTGCTATTTGACCTGGTGAACGTCTGCGTAAGCTTGGAGGAGCTAAGTCCGGTGGAATATACAAATCAGTTGATCCTGCAGACAATCTATCGGCTGATGACGCAGAATTTACCGTTGCACAACGCCCATCTGCATATTTCCCTTATCACCAAGTGTATAAGAACATCACGAAATCCACAAACACATCACCACGCATTGCTAGTGCTCATTGAGTTGCTGAAGAAAGTCGATGTGAATCGAGCGCTCATCAACATTATGCCCATTTTCACTTTCATGGGCAGCACGGTGGTTCGCCAGGATGACTCTTATTCCATCCAGATCACTTCCAAGGTTTTGGAGACGGTGGTGCCGGTTGTTAACGCCGCTAACAACGAGATCCACGCCTGCATGATGCTGCGAATTTTCGTAGCCTCCTTGCCAGATATACCCGAACACAGAAGGATGCACTTATTTGTCCAACTGCTTCAACTTCTTGACAATTATCTGCATTTGTATTATCTGCTTACTTTCGAAAGCCATGCAATAAAATTGAACGCGAAGCTCGCAAATGACAAACGTTCCATGCAGCGTTTGGAGTTTGCTCTTCAAATATGTCAGGAGCTCTCATTGGGACAGCTGCTTCAGGTTAGTTATATGAAGTCGTGTTTAATTTTGAAAAAGAATCTATTTTTGTTATTTAAAAATTATGTTATTGTGCGTAGAAATATTTTAAAGTTGATTGAGAAATCTTTCCATAGAAGATACTTTTTATTTGTTGGCATATATTTCTAGTTAAAAAATAGCCCCATTGAGTGTTTATGAGTGCAATTTTCCAATAAGAATATGCCGATAAATAAAATTTGTTGGGTAGTTGTAGCAAAAGGTTGAATAAAGTTGTTCTAAAAAATCAAATTAATTTTCCATTTTTTTATTAGATTTGTGTAAAGGTAATCAAATTTGTCAAAATTTTACCGATGGACGTTGAAGAAGAGCAGGAAAAACGGATGACGAGGAATTTTCCGTACAAACATGTTTATGACGTAAGCACGACTGCCCCAAAGGCTCTACGACACTACAAACTAACGGCAGTGCAGTTCCTCAGCAATCTCTTGTCTTCCGATAACTTCATCAATCGCGTAGCTGAGCTCAACGTGGATGAAGCGAATGAGATGAACGAGTACTGCGATTGTTTAGGAGCCGAATTGATCACGTTGATTCAGATCATTTCGAAGGTCGCCGATCAGCAACAAAATAAACCGAGCGCAAAATATTGGAAGGTGTTATTACATCATCTGTACGACTTGCTGGATCTTGTGAACAATCTATTGCCGAATACGATGTTCCTGAAGAATGTCCAGCGCTTGCAGACTCACGAGATGTTGAGCGTAAAAAAGAAGATCCTGGAGATGCTGAACACAAGACTGCTTCAGAAGAAGTTCGGTGAAGAGGATCACGAGAATCTTCTAAATTTAATTGAATATCTCGTGAACTTTATCAACGTTGAGGAGAAAGTCAAGAGCCAAGAGCACGAAATTGTTCAGCAGACAGCGTTGAACTCTTTGAAACTGCTGGGGAAGTTATTGGCCACTGATTATCCCAACGTTTTTATGCCGGTATGTATACAAACACGAAAAAATCGCTTTATTCCTTCAGAGCACGCGATAAAATTCATTTCGATTCAATTGCATATTCCCGACGTGATTAATATCATAATCGATATCATGGTTTTCTTTGAATAATTATTTGCAGATTCTACACATTACGACAGAACTGTTGCAATCGAGGGATGGTCCGGTATTGGCTAGTGCGGCGTTATGCGTCGCGGAACTAGTCTGCAGTATGAAAACACATGCTCTAGATTTATTGAATACATTTGTGCCAGTAATTTTGAAGCTGCTGAAGACGCATTGTTGTCAGAACGTGCCGGACGTGATTGTTATTAGCATCGTGAGTGCTTTGCAAAAAATAGTGGAGTTTCTGGGAAATTTCCTCTCGCCCTACTTAAACAACCTTCTATTCGAGCTGACTAGATTGAATACATTATACATCGACAAGGAACATCCCAAGGTATTTATACTTCTGTCTCCGGTCAAAGATAAAAATGCACACAATTTTTAAGAGGTTTATTCAAGAAATTAATTTTATCTCGAAATAGTCTTGAATTGTGTATTTTTGATAATAATATGGCATTTATTATATTGATTAATTTTTAATTATTAATATCTTCATAGAATAATATTTACATAATAGTATGTGTATTTCAAGACCTATTGTTAAAATTTAATTTAATTTTTATTTAATTTCTTATTTTGCGTTATGTTATGTTACACACGCACACATTCTCCTGCGTACTCTATTTCGCCGCGCTTTCTTCCTCTTTCTCTTCTCACCTTCGCTCGCTCCGCATGTCGAAGCGTGCACGTATAACTGTGCACCCCGACAACTTCTTTTGATGCATCTTTAATTATACGTTTCCTCCAGTCTAAATCTGTTTGCAGACCGGTATCGTAGTTTCACGACTGAAAACGATCACACAGAAATTACCCAGCTGCATACCTCCGCGAGTATTGCTGCCGGCTGTCAGCATTACATACCAGAAATTATTGAGCAAAAGGTTCTACAAACGTATACCATCGTTGATGGACGTGCTAGCCGATTCTTTCGAGAACGTTTCGTCGGTAGACTTAAATGGAGAGATTCCAAATCTCAGTGAGTTCTTTCTCAAAGTCTTGCAATTCCGTGAGGATGTCGAGGATTCCAAGGATGATCAAATGGTCGATAAAGAAGATGTTTCAAAGGACATCGTCACGATTGAGGAGAGCGCTGGAAAAGCTTTGGTCGCTCTGGTCTTGAAGTTGAGCGAAGCGACCTTCAAGCCGTTATACTCAGACTTTTATAAGTGGGCAGAGAAAAGTGCAAAGCACAAGCAACGAAACATAACATTCTACAGGTATGTATGATTTTATTATATTATTATTCAGTTAAAATAATATATTTTTATAATAAAATCATAACATATATTAAGTAATATATTTACCAATTATTGCACACAGTACTCTTTTGATAATGTAATAATATTTCTTTAGGTTATCAGCGAATATAGCAGAATGTTTAAAATCTTTGTTCGCTCTATTCGCTGATCTCTTCCTTAAACATGCGGCATTATTGTTGAAAAACAATAACACGTTCGTCAGCGATACTCCTCACGAATTGACGCTTTCTGAAGAATCGAACAGAATCGAGCTGGTAGAGGCGATTCTGTTGACCTTTCACCGTGTATTCATTTACGACGCTCACAATTTCGTCAGTCAAGAACGGTACGAGATCCTCGCGCAGCCAATAATAGACCAGGTGGAAAACACAATGGGCACGAAGGAAGAGTACGAGAATCGAGCTAGTCAATTGATTGTACCTTGTATAGCTTCCTTCGCCAGCGCCATTCCCGACGACACGTTGCACAAGCAGCTGGTTTACCAGATGTTGCTAAAGACTAAGCACGCGAAGCCTTACGTTAGGAGCACCGCCTTGAACGCTTTGGTAAGCTAAGATACAACAGTTGATTTATTTCAGAGCTTAATTTAAATTATTAAAAGTAAAATATTCTCTTTAAATATTTATTGACATATAAAATAGTTACATTAGAACATTCATATTTTTCTACTGTTTTTCTTTATAAACAATTAATTTCAAGTGCTTAGTGAGACATATTATGTATTCTATATTAAACAATTTTATTCCAGAAAAAAATTTTTTTAATAAGAAAAGTTGATTTGAACATGAAATATTTAATTTTCTCAATTTTAACATTCTATATATGAATGACAAAAAAGTTCGAATATTAAAAGTATATACATTTATTAATAATCTATTTTTCAAAAATGCAGCGTAGATTTACATATGAAAAGATTTCTGTTCCTAATTTTTAATTCGATTAATTCATTTTAATTACTATTACATCATTTGTGTTTTTACTTATTGAACAATCACTCATTATTGCAATCCAGGTGGAAATTGCGAGAAAACTTGGGGAAGACTTTATGCCTTTATTGCCGGAAACGGTGCCTTTCCTAGCAGAGATATTAGAAGATGAAGACGAAGCTACGGAGAAGTGTGCCCAGAATGCTGTTCGCACTCTGGAGGAAATTTTAGGGGAACCTTTACAGAAATACTTTTAAACATTTATCCCTAAATATTAGTTTGATTGTCATAGTAATTGTAAATAATTACTTTTACCATAACCTTAACGTACCTGAACGTATTAAAACGACTCTTGTAAATAGAATTACTTTTCTAAGATTATTATCTGTAGTTCTAAGATGAACGTTTTATGTTCATAAATATTAAAATATTGTTATACGTGTACAGTATTTTGATCATTCTATTGCACACTATTCCCAGCTCGAAAATAATTCGGCGGGTAAAGAATTATTGTAATGAAACAAAGAAAGAATATATATGGATATATATGGATTAATATAAAAGAAATAATGGATTAGTAATTCTTATTGATTATTTAATTGTTAGCAATTATTTCTCTTTAAGATAATCAAGTTGATAAGTTGTAAATTGCCGTTAAATGAAAAGTGAAGGTTATTAATGACAAAAATGGCCAGATACTAAGAAAACGTTCATTTATTTTCAACTTAATCGTAAATTTGGACGAAGTATAGAATATATTATCTGCTTATAATATAATACAGTAACGTAAAAGTGTGTATATGTATGTGTGTGTGTCGTGTAACGTCATGATGTAATAGGCTCGCGAGTTACACAGTATCGAACCGAGCATAAGTCCGTTCGTGCCCATTGGGCCTTGGACGCACGTATGTGTGCGTCCTGTTTTGGCAACGCATTTCGCCCCCAAAAGCGGCCGTCTGTCTCGCTGAACAACGTTTGTCCGAGAAAACTGCGAGAACATAGCTTAAAAGTATATCGAATGTAAAACGACAATCAGCCGGATATATTTGGAGTGCGAAGCGCGCGAGAAAAGCGCGAAGCGCGGGCCTTATTCTCGCATCACTCGTCGTGTCTTTCGTTGCTCTAGTCGGAATTTTAGTCCTAACCGAATTGACAGTACGCGAATGCGCGAAAGTGATCACGAAATCGGCAGCCACGTTTCGCGCTAAATGCGCGGCTAAGAACACGTCGAGTCTCTCCGAGTTTCTTCCTTCGTTGCGGCCTCGACTAATTGCGCGGAGTCGTCGCGAGATTTTCAGAGATTCGCCTTCCGGGTTCGACACATCCGCGACGACCTCCGACTATCACGTGGACATCGAGCGTTTCTCGTAGTTAACCAGTGTCCACGTGTGCGATTAGTCCGGGCTCCTGAAATCACACTTGTGGCACGTCGGCTGGGCCCCGGAGAGCCATCTCTTCTGCCTGCGTCACAGCCGGGAGTTTTCTGTAATGCAAAAATAATTACTTTTGATTTTTTCTTCCGCGTCTTATATTGCTATCAGTCTTATTCTTTAAATTAATTAAATTACGCGTGTGTAATGTAATTAATCAAGGATTCAATATGTATAGTGTATATAGTACTTTGTACATAGTATTTTGTACATTTGATTAACTGCGAATTTTTAAATCTTAATACTTGCTTAATTCTTAAAGTTGATTTTTAAGTAAAATCCTCAATTAATTAAGAATTCATTAAGAATAAATTATTAATTTAATGGAATTATTTGTGGATTTTTAAATCTTGTGATTTGGCCGGCTCTCGACGCAATTTTTATTAATTATAAGAGAAACAAAGTAGCGTATTATTTAAATAGCATTTTAGTGTCTTTTTAATTTTAGTGCATGAATATTAGGAATTTTGCGTGTCTTCGTGAATACGTAGAGATTCTCGTTTTACGAGATTTATTCATGCGTGATAGAGAGACGGGGTACAATTAGAAAAGATGTATTTATTTTTGTCTTGTATTATAGTTTTGCAATATTTGTCTGTACATATGTGAATACTTGTCGATATTCGTGTAACGTATCGCATATGATAACAAAAAGCATCGAGGAATAAAGGAGTGTGTCCACAAATAGAATATATATGTACATATTTTTCTAGTCTACTTTCTGTTGAGTATCTGTTTCCCAAGATACAGTGTATATGATATTTCCTTGCTACCGGCTCGTTTTTGCGTTTGTTTACAATCTCAGGTATGATAGTACGCGGCGCTCGACGCTTGTTTTTGTCAGCCAGCCGACCGAGCGCGAGTGTGTATACAATCACTCTCGCGACGAGCCTCCGATAGGCAAGAACCACGCGCATTATCTTTTCTGCCGGCAATTGCGACGCGTGACGGAATGTCGAGAAACGCGGAAACAGGTAGCTTCATCAATGTAAAATCTTGTAAAATCAGCTCTTACGACCGCGATTAATAAGACGCGAATCGACACGACGACCGCATAATTCGTCAGAATGCGATTTATTCGTCTCGAGCGGGGACGATCGAGGCTTTCGCGGATGAGCAGCACACATTTTCGCGATATTTATGAGCGTACGACTGTTGTCCTAACGATATTCGCGAGTTTATTTTCACGTGGCGATCCAGCGTGCTTGATTGACACGATTATATTTTCCCGCGGATATTCGCCGCATGCCGGATGCGGTCACGGAGGAGTACGGGATCGGGATCGGGTCGCATTGTGACGTACATCCAGCTGGCGAAAGCCGGTAGCTATACAGTGATTATTTATGATCCGATTCGTGTATTTTTTTTAGATTTATGCGTATGCCGAGACGCGTATGTCGAGACATGCGATGCAAAGTGTCGATTCGCGAATCTCGCGCGCGAATTAACTCACGCTCTGAAGCTGTCACGTCGTGCGGTGCGGCATCGGAGTGAAGTTAGTCGCGTAACGTGTTAGAATCTTCCTTCTTTGCCGGAGAGCTACGACGACGAGTGGACGGCGAAAGGTCGTGCGGCTTTGCGAGCATTTTTAGGCAGTAAGTTTGATCGCAATCGATCCCATATCCGGATATTCGTCAACGGTTAACGTGAGGTACACGTTCGTGCACGATCGTCCGTGGACATCGCGTGTTTCGCGAGATTTCGGCGATCGAAGTCTGTCGTGTAAACAAACGGCCTGCGGTGGCCATTGCCAGAAAAAGTTCTTTCGCGAATGTTTGTCTATCGCGATCTTCGGCGACTTTTTTGTTATCTACGACACGGCGTCGAGACGTTTTTTCGGATTTTCGTGGTAGATTCTTCGACCAGCTTACTTTTCGTGCCCGATTTTGCCGTCAAACGTGCGTATTTGTGCGTATATACAGCGTGATATTTGGAGATCGATCGTGAATCTCCTCCCCCTGTGTGAGCTCGCGAAGAGAGTGAACGATTTATAATCTTTAAAATATATGGAAATGTTTACTTCTCATGAGTTCACATTGGAGAAAAAGATTCATGGTCGATTCCGAGCCAAGTTATTCACGTTTTATAATTTCATACTAAGAAAATATTCACGTTGGCCCGCGGGGGAGGGAGAATGTCTAGGGCGCGTTCCGTTACACGCTCGCAACTCTCACGAGCGTCATTCTATCTTTGTTTAACATCCATGAGCAATAAAGATAGAATGACGCTCGCGAGCGTTGCGAGCGTGTAAGGCCGGTTCTACATTAGTTGTAAATCGCAAGATCGTAAGAAAATTTATCAATCATTGTCGATCGTTCTTCTTACGACCAAAAAAGAATTGACTGTGATTGGTCAATTTTCTTGCGACCTTGAGACTTGCAACTAATGTAGAACGATTCTAACGAAACGCGTCGTAAATCCCTTAGTCGTAAATCAGTTTTCTTGATCATTATGTACGATATAGTGATATGAATTGATACATGAGGCGAGTCGCGTTTTACTCGAGAATATTCTTTGGTGAGACGATTCTTTGGTGAATAACGTACAGTCGGCTGATTATGATAAAGATTGTGATAATTTTTCTCGATAGGTTTTGCAATGTATCCCGTATCCAACAAGAGGATTTGTATTTTTTTCTATTAAAAAATATATTTTCTTATCGGATAGGGAATACGTAGCAAGACTCATCGGGAATAAATATTAAGACAAGCTTTATTTAGCTTTATTTCAACCTTCAGGTAAACTAACAGTTCAAAATCGTATGTTTGTCTTCGTTTTTTCTTCCTGATTAGACAAAGACAGACATGTGATTCAACTGTTAATTGGCTTCTAACAAGAAATTAAAAAACAAGCCGACTGTATAACACGGTATTTAAGTTCCTTCGAGCCTTCGTGGCAGATCTTTTGTCAGCTCGCGTTTCATCGTCGATTTCGTTGTCAAACGCGCTGTCATTGTCGAAATATCCGCTTGCGACTAGAGAGTGCCGCGAAAGCGCAACAAGTGCAACAGATAGTGCAAACTTAATACCGACGCGATGCATAAAGTTGGCAGCACGACTTTTCGCCGCTAAACGTCTTCACGTATCGCGCTCGTTCATAAAAATGTCGCAATTGCCGCGCCCCCTTCGTCTCGCTCGCCGTGGTTCCCATAGTTTTTTCGCCGTCGATAAGTCTGCGCGCCGTATCGCGGATATCGGGAGTGCCGTACAAAATTCGCGCGATCCGAATTACGTTTATGACGCGATCGCGATCAACGTGTTTTTTTCTTCCGGGTCGCAAGTGAATGTGTGCCTGTCAGCTGTGGAGAAGCGACGCGGGGCGAGAGGAACTCGCTCGGGTATCGGCGGTCAACGATGAGGTAAATATAATTATAATTGCTCACTTTTCGTTCATCACATATTCGATAATAGCGTGTGACGTGTAGACTGATCGCTCATTTGTTCTCGCGACGGTTTTATGTACGCGGCGCAAATGCTCCCGCGTTTTTTGAAAGTATAAGTCTCCCGTTAAATACATTTTTTCGCGACTGATTAAACACGCGTTGTTTCATCACATTTTCAATGTGGATTTTTGTGAGCGTTGCTATAATGTTTGGGAATTCTTTTAGGTTGCAGAGATCAACATTGAGTGCCTGCGAGTGCATCGTATACTGCTATTGGTGAGTGATATTTCCATTTTAAATTTTTAATTTTGAGTTAATGAATCTGTGAACATCTTTTACGGGTCATGAAGAAATAAAACTGTATTGCTCGAGAAAATACATGCTCTTTGTTCAGGATAATGTTGGACAATGATCGATTAAAATTTTCTTTGTCTAAAATAATTGGCAAGTCACTAACTAAAGTAAATAAATAATTTTATCGAATGTGTGAGTGTGTGATACAATTAATTATTAATAAAATTTAATATGATTAATTATATATTGATAAATAATTAATTTTATTAGTCCATGAAATTATTTGGGATTCTACATGTAACGATTGATTTATTTTAGTTACTGATTTGTCGATTATTTTAGTTCAAGAGAATTTTCATCGACTAATGCCCAATATTGGGTCAGAAAACAATATTGGATCTGTTTACATCTCTCTGTTATCTCTATATTTATAATCTCAAAAGAAGCTAAAACTGAATGAACGATATAAAAAATGCTGATAAACACATAAAGTCACAGATTCGTTGCCTCAAAATGGATTGGCAAGAAATAGATTAGTGAAGATATTTAACCTTGGAATATTTACAATCTCTTGTTTTTATTGTACACGTACACGAAAATATATACACACAACACAACATACACATTGAGCTCGAGACAGAGCTTATTATTTCTATGTGTTATTGACCTGCTCAGCCATTTACAGTAGTTGAAAAGTGTTGTTTTTCTAGCAATTTACTAAATTCCCTTTCTTAGAAACGACATTTCGATTTGAATTTTTGTGGAAATATAGTCAATTTCAAAATTTAATTGTGAAATTTAATTTTTATATTAATTTACATTTTTTGATATCTCGTTATAGAGATTATTCAATAAAGATATCATTATTTTCCAAAATTTTTTAAATATATGTCTGAGATTTCCGGGAAACGAAATTAAGAGCATCATGATAGAGATGCATCAAGAATATTAATCAGACAATTTTAATCATTTATTATAATAATTATTAACGTCGCATAATTTTCAATAAATTTTTGAGATCATTAATTTGAAATTGTAAGAAGTAAAAAAGGAAAAAAACAGTACTGAATTAGTATTTTTCTAAAATATAAAAATTTAAATAATTAAATTATATATATTTTAATGATAAAAAAGGAATATAAATAATGATAAAAAAGGAATATAAATCAAAAAAATTCGAAACTTGATCTCCATATTTTTTATCTCCACATATTTTTCTCCTCTAAGGTTAAATATTGTGAAAAACTGAGTCGAAAAATGCGATTACAGCAGTTTCCAAAGTTACTATTGATTTATTTATTACAAAAATGCAATGAAGTAATTGCAGTTAATATTATATTTCGCATATATACGCGCACTATACATTTAATTGGTTTAATTTAATAGCGCGTTCACATGGTAATATAATTAATAATAATGAATATTATTATTGAATATTTAGCTAATGCTAAATGCGCCAGTTTTAACCTAATTTATTCTTGCCTATTCATCTATATCTTATTTAAAATGAAATGACGTGAGATCCAAGAGACATTTTAAAACGCACATGCAATTTCGTTTTTACATATAGATTGTCTCAGAGAAAATGAAAATATATAAAAATGTAGAGAAATATTTTTAGAAAATTCCAGTTTGTTAAAATATATAAAAGTTGTATATAAAATTGTAAAAGTTGTATGTAAAATATATTAAAATATGTAGAGAAATATTTTTTTGATAATTCTAGTTTGTTTTTCTAGCAATTTACCAAACTCCCTCTTTTCATGCGTTTTAGAAACGACATTTTGATTTGAATTTTCGTGAAGATATAGTCAATTTCAAAATTTAATTGTGAAATTTAATTTTTATATTAATTTACACTTTTTAAGTCTTGACTTTGTTCAGAACTTTTCAATTTTTAACTTTCATAATAGAATATCTTCAGGAATTTTATAGAGAGAAATATAGGATATGATAATATTTGAAAAAAAAAAGAATAGAAATTTAAAACAAACTTTTCATAGAAAAAAAACCTATAAATTCTGTCGTACTGATTAAGGTGCTAATTAAATTTTTTTCTTATTTGAGAATCGATTCAAGACGTATCGAAGAATACACGCGCGTTATCGGTTATCATTTTCTCTGGTTCAATCTATATTTTAATAGGCACACAGCTCTCTTAAACGAGATGTGTAGTGAATGAGTTCACTTACCTCTTTCTGTACTGGAAGATGATATAAACGATGATCGCATTGCCGACGAACAGCAAAGCAATTAGGACCGTTGGTAGCACAACGTCTGTAACATAATGCAGATTTGATTAGTATTGATTGGCTAACGTGCTGTGTCACGACGTTGATTCGATTGAACCACGCACTTTGATCACGCGTCTCTGAACGGAACCTCTCGCGCAATGGGAATTGCTGTCGGGGGAGAATATTCTAAATGTTAATAAAAATCACTGACCGTCCAAGGTAGTTTCTTCCTGGATAATAAATCGATAACGTAGTTATCTTGATATTATATTGATAGGATAAGAAGCAACCTCACTTGCAGTATAAAATGCGCATATCGATGTCGACTCTCGTGTAATTTTAAATTTGATGTGAATTAAAATTTTTTAAATCAGAAGATTTAAATTTATAATTTTTCAAATTGATATCAGAACGATCGTTGTACCGTTGAAATTAAAATTTATCTTTATAGTGTCATAACGAAAATTAATTTATCTTTTTATCGTGTTACACATATTTTTTATATAATTGTTTGTGTATACATTTCAGTTCATGTTAAAGTAATGTTTATTGTGTTGTACGATTACATACAAATGTTGAGATACTTCCTTACGTATCATGTTGAGAAATCACTTTGATAACGCGTCGTAATCAACGTAATACAACGTGACGTAACAACACAGTAATTGTATTGACGCGAGATTCACAATGACGTTCAGAATCGTAAAGAATAAACATTTATGCCGACAGCAATACTGATTGCGACAAAGATTCCTTTCGGATCTCACGTCATCTCGCGTTCAGCGTCATTAGTCGTGGCATATTGAACTTTGGACGCTACTTTGGACGTGAATGGCGAAGAAACTGAAGTTTTTAATCGTTCGCGTAAATTTCTTTGATTCACAATTCGATACTTTTGTCATATTATGCCGTTTTTTTTCTGCGTGATCATTTTTCGTGTTACGAAGATACATTAAATCTTTATTGACAAAATACTGACACTTTTTCTCGGGAATATTTGCGTTGTATCGACTGCACAGAATTACAAGTGTTCTTATATAATATAGGTAGACGCGAAAATAAATTGAAATATTGCTTAGTACATAACAGAAACGATAAAACATTTCAAAGTTGACATTTCGTGTGTCAATCAATCAATTGAATATTCCACATGAAAGATCTGTAACTTGTGTATGCTGAACACGCGCGAATTTGTTCCGCTGAAAAAAATTTCAAAGAACATTGCTGTAACCTCATGTATCTATATTGAGAAATTTAAATCGATATTCCATATCTTCAAGATCATTTATTATTGATGTCACGTTGGAGAGCACACGCGTTGTACATAGAAATATCGTAATATATAATGTAACGCAAATAAGAGACGGTATAAACGTGACAAAAGCGATCGATTGTCGAACAGTGTTTCACGTAAGTACAAGTTTTGCATTTCTCGTAAAGAAACACTCGACATTTTCGAGCGAGAACGGCGTAAGTACTGCGTTAGCTTTAAGAAATTGAGCGTTTTTCATTACATAATATATTTGCGAATTGTATCGGCTGAAATCACGTTATACCATGTACATTTGAAGCTCTGTACATTTATCTTTGAGTATTTTCATTGTCTTCGACAATGTATCTACTGTAAACCTGTTCTGCGCATGTTTTGCTGCGTGCAGCGCACATTTGCATGATTTAAGTTAAAATAGCTAAGCATTAATAAAATCTCGCAAGCAACCGAGATGACGTGCAAACTTTATCTGCTTTACAATCGCACTTTCGTGCGTCTTACTCGATACCATCGGATAGCCAAGGCTAAATAAGCACTTATAAATAAGTTTAAAGTACGCGGAGACTGTGAGGCTCATATCAACGTTGAATTCGTTGATCCCTTATCACTTTTCTCTCTTGCAATTGCTTGAAATTTGCTTAACTACGTTTTATCTTATCGCGATTCGCGCAATAAATCTAACCTCATTCTGAGGTTAATATCGACAACGATAACAATCTTTTTCTTGATAACACTCAGCCTGCTAAATTTCTGCCTGGGAAACATGACTGATTAAGCATATTGCACGAAACAAAAGAGATTTTAGGATCCTTTTTTTCCACTAAATTTTTCTTCACTGATTTTCTCACTCGACTCGACAATATATTGATCTGGAAGTAGGAGATAATCTTCGAAAGTTCGCACAGAAAAACGTGTCGGTGTCTCGTTAGCGTGAAAATTACCCCTTTGAAATGTCGCATTCGTTTATTTCGCTCCTGGCGCATACGAGTTTCATGGAAATGAACGTTAATTATTACCGCGCGTGGAATTTTCGTATGGAACGGGAGCGTTTGTTTGAAGCGATTTCCGCTGGATGTCGGTGGCTTTTCAGAGACCGGCTTCAGGCAAATCCTCGAATAAAAGCCGCATCGTGCTTGAAAAAATCCTTTTTTTCTTTTTGAAACTCACAAACTTTAATATCCTCTCATATCTCTTCCCCTCGGGCTCCTCATGGATTATGCCCGGATTATAAAACGCGATTATTATTTCACGAAGCTGCCTCTCTCACGCGGCGTTCGCTTCGCTAAAAATTGTCTAAAATTAGCGACATCTCCATTACGCGACGCCTACATCACCGTCACTGACCGAGGTTCGCGGATTCGCCGGACGCCACTCGCACTCGCACTCCATAACGGAAATTGTCGAATGTAATTATCGAAACGACATTGACACCGGTGAGATCGAACGGGCTCGATCGGAGAAACGCCCGCATTTATTACGTGTGTTCGCAGTAAAAAATCGCCGAGCTAGTTCACTGACCTACGACGTAGTCCGCTTGCTTCATCATGGCCGATTGCGCCGAATCCATAACGTCGCTACCACTCGCGACTGCGTCCTCGCCACGTCCTATCCTCACCCCCGTTCCAAGGATATTGTCCCCAGATAGACTCGCCAGATGATGGTGTTCGTCCTCCGTTTTTAAGATCACCGCTGACGTGGCTGTGAACAGAGTTGCATTCGCTCGACTTAGCAAACAATCGCGATTAATAGAATAACGGAAAGTCGATAATACGTGTATAAATAGATGATAAATACGTAATAATAATATAATATGAGTAGATAACAGTAGATGCGGAAGTAACATGAAAATAAACGGAAATTATAATAATAATTTTATGGGAATTGTATTGGAAAAGAAATATCCCAAGTAGAACAGGTTGCTTATTGATTAACGTTCTTGAAGTTAACTTTTGGAATGTATCTGTAAGATAACAAGTTAATGTCAATAATTTGTCTCCATTAATATAACATCGATAACAGTTTACAGTTGGTTAATAGCTAGTTCATTTACGCATTTTACAGTTATCATTTGGTGTATATTTAATTTGTATCCATGTATCAACTTGATACTTTTATATCTAAATATCTTTTTTATATCTTTTTGGATATTAAAAGTTATCTTTCGGGCGGATATTAGATAACCTTTTAAGTAAAAAGAAACTTAACTTTTTTACCGAAAATAAAGTTATCTTGACTTAATATTATATAGTAAAATGGATTACTTTAAAATAACATTGTTCTACTTGGGATATTATAAACCATGGCGGAAAATGAATTTAAAATCAAATGTGAAATTTGATTGTCGGGAGTTACTTGGTTCATTAGAAAATACGTGGTCTTGTCGAGGCGAATTTTTGAAATTAAAAAATTTTTTAGTACATATAAGTGTTCTCTTTTACATAACGGGGAAGATAAAATTTTAGTTAAACAAATTGATATAGTTAATTAATATAACATTACGAATAATAGGAACTCTGGAATAAAAATACTCCGCGGCATTATAAATATTTTTTGTATAGTTTTCGTGATATTTTTAAATTCTATTTCACGCGATTATCACGTAAGTTCGTAATGCGAAATATTCTGTTATATTTTTTCTTGTTTACGAGTCCTTCGTATTAACATTTACAGTAGAGAGCATCGAGAGTGCGCAGCATGTCGATATACTTCGCGTTTCATTCGAATAACATCGCGACGCCGCGCATTACGTAAAACGCGCAACACAAATATGTTCGCGATCGATGTTGCCGATAGCGCGGAATAATGCCGAACACCCGATGAAATTTGGATTTGCGCGACACGACGACAAACCTGCGGATGATACCGATATCGCGCGAGCGGTGCAACAATATCATCAGCGCATCGTTGAATAGCCAGTGTGGCCTCGTGTATCGATTTTGGCGATCCTTCCCGCCGGTCAAGGGGAGAAATAAGCGGGCGATTGGCCGTTTGTGCGTAGGGGCGCTTTATTAACGGATCGATAGCGGCGGTTTCTGCGAGGGAGGCTAGGTTTTACGTTGTCACCCTCGAGTCGCAGCACCCAGTGCCGCGTGTCTCGCTCTTTGCCGCGTCAATTAACGCACGTTGCTCCGTCCGACGTTGCTCCATCTCGAATGCACGAGATTCTACACGTCCATTGCGCGTTTAAAAACATCGTTCCCCTTTCGCGAAATTTTCTCTCAGAAATGACCATACGAATTTATTACGGTTTTTCTCTTATTTTCTTACGAATTTTCTCTTATTTTCGAGCTGAAAAAAATACTCGAAAATCTCTTTGCGAGATATAAAGTTTATCTTTGTTGTAGTACTTTACGCGATTATTAAAAATTGAAAATTAAATTTTATTAAAAATATATTTCAAAAAAATTATATACTACACTAAATTATTAAAATAAAAATGTTATTAATATATACGTAAAAATTCTCATTCTTACTTAAAAATATTACACTGAAAAGAGAAACACGTGAAAATTTCTTTATGGGATACAAAGTTTATTCTGCAGAAATTATTCTTATTAAATAATTTCTGCAAAATAAACTTTATATCTCATAAATTAATTTCTATACATTTTTCTTTTTAGTGTAAGATTTTTAAGAATTCTTTTACTTTTAACACATATTGATAACATTTGATTTTTAATAATTTAATATAATATAATTTCCGAAATATATTTTTAGTAAAATCTTAATTTTTATTAATCGCGCCAAGTTCTTCTTTCTCTCTTCTTAAATGACTTTAATGTACACGATGCCTTATACGCTCCGCGAGCTTCGTTCGATACGAAGAAATGCTAAGACCTTCTGCATCCAATCTCGTTGTAAAGTCTGGCTACCATCAGCGTCGAGCGAATCATAGATTCCACGGGTATAATTTCGAAGTCTGGTTATCTCTTCCCGTTCTCTCTTATTCCTTCCGCCCTTTCGACGCGTCGGTAATTCGAACTCGCGCGAGCGTCTGCGTATTCTACCGTTACATCTCGATTCCGAGGCGAACGTTTTTATGCGATCTCTCCAGAGACGCTCTCGACAATGCCGAGCAGAATCTAACCCGCGTATCCCGGCCAACACAACGCCCGTAAAACATGTTTACGACACGCGCGTTTGTCGTTTTGGCCCGAAGCACGCGCGCGTTAACCGACGGAGAGTGCTTTCTTTTTTTAACATTAAACACGTTGCATTACCGTTACCGTGAAACGCGCTCCGCGATTTATCCTCGTTCGTCATTCCTCTCGGCGAATTGCGAAATTGCGCGCGAAATTTCACTTCCCCGCCGCTCTCCCCGGCGACTCCTTAAAAAAGAGACGTCGCGAAATCGCGAAGCGTGTTTCGATAACAGTTATTTCGAGATGTCATCTGCGCGCATGGATAATAAAGCGTCGCCACGAATCTATCGAGATATTTTTTTGACTTGTTACAGCAAATATAGCAGAGATAATTTCACTTATCTTTATTTATTGCGAAAATTTCTCGGCATTTAAATAAGTAATTTTATTTTTCAAGTAGCTTAAACTCTGCCTGGCATTGCCTGGCTTACCACAAAATATCAAGAGAATGAAATCAGGATAAGGAGGTGGGATAGCTAGATTTCATGATAGTATTTTCCGCAAAATGTTAGAGAGTAATCATGTAAAATTTCATTAGTTGCTTCTAAAATTAAAAATATGAAACTTTTGTTATTTACTATCTGTTTGATATCTAAGGTAACACTATTTGATGAAATTTTTTTTTCTAGTTAAAGTCGTGTTAAGATTAATTTAAAAGCACTTTGTTTTTTTTTAACACGATAATCTTTTTTTTAACACTTTTAACTTTATAGCTTGCGTATAGACTTTGTTGTCTCGATTTTTAACAATTATGAACACCTGGGAGTCATCCGCTCTGGATTCCGCGAAGGTTGTAATCAGTCCGTCGATGATGAGCAAATAGACACGAAGGGAAAGATCAGAGGAGAGAAAAGTCGACTATCTTATTATTACCGGGGTACTCTCTTAACTCTCATCGCAATTTCCTCTTGCGATTAAATCACGTTTCCCGTAATGTAGATACTTGTCGTTGAGCACGGTCGCGCTAAATTATTTTCACCTGCGAATTACAAAGTGTAGTGACACCGAATGTTTATATTCGGTTTTTAATCAGCGCGCGTTCTCCTTCTCCTTTCTGCTCGACAATTTTCGCGAAGTTTGCAGTTACAGTTTGCGTTTTCCCGCAGCTTAAAAATTTACCGAACGCTACTCACCGCGCTCGAGCTTTAATTTTCACTCCAACTTTTCTGACGGCGGCTGATCTCCAAGTCGATAATACGGAACTGACGCGCGAGTCGCGGATTAATATTTACCGTGGCGCTATTGAATTTACCAGCAGGCGTGTTTCTTGGAAAACCTCGTTCTTCCTTCGCTTCCCTCGGAACTAATTTCTGCTCGTTGAAGAAACGACGCTTTCTTCGCTAACGGCTGCCGCGTTACTCGCGAATAAGCACACCAAGATGCGTATAAATACCCGCCTGTGTACAGGGTGCCCCAGAATCAACGAGTGCTCCTTTAGCTTCGCGGTCCTTCTGTTTAATTCAACACAAGCGTCTCTCTCTCTCTTTCCGGCGAAAATATCGAGAAAAATTGCCATTTGCCTAATCGATTTCTGGCATGTCGTAAGCGCTCCGTACTTAAACTGCGCTCGAATAACCATCTTCTATTAATTGAAGTTTAGTCCGTTTGAAATTAACCGCGGAATATGATCCTGTCAGCTATTTTTTTTTCAGCTATTTTTTCTCTGTCGTTGCTTCGGTTCGTTTAATTTCAGTAAGTACGCGGAGAGAATTTTGCAGCAAAAAGTGCTATAGAATCTTGTAACTGAAAAATAGATTGACGTTTTGTAATAATTGATTATTCTTTCTTTTTATATATGCTATTTTCCTCCCTTTAGAGACTAAAATATGCTATTAAAATATTACACAGAGAGAATATTGTAGCTTTTTTCTTTCATATAAATTCTTTTTAAATTTACTATATTTTTAGTGGTCCACACATACATACACTAATAATATATTGTAAATTTCGCCAAAAACATGGCAAGTGTTTTAATATTATATTTTAGTTACTGAAATATAAGTAATACATATAAAATGAGAGGAGACAGAGTAAATTACTGCAGAATGTCGATATGTTCCTCAAGTTACAAACTCTTACAGTAATCTTTATTTAATATTTCTCTTCGTGTAGCGAGATTTACAATATTTCTTAACAAGATAGAATTTACTAGCATTGCTAGACTGCACTGCTAGAAACATAGTAAGATTGACAAGACATTGCATGAAGAAAAAAGAAAACTATAACATTCTTCCCGTGCAGTTGCTACAAAGCGCTTCCCGTCAAATTCGCCAAAGAACAAGGAGTCTGACAATTTTGGAGCGCCTTGTAAGTATTTGCATGTGGAATCGCGTGTTTATCCAAGCACAGAGAGAGAGACGAACACAGAATTGCGGGGTAATTATAACGCTCCCGGTGCGCCACGATAAGAGACGGTGACGATAATATTGGAGCTTGTGAAACACACTCGCGAGCGCGAATATCGGCTCGCTGCGAAAGCGTCTTAGCCGTGTTTTAGCAATTTCCAGCGTCTCCGTGAAATTCGAGTCGAATCTGCGGAGATGTAAAAGGATGGGC